CCCCCCCCCCCCCCCCCCCCCCCCAACACACACAGACAGAGAAAGCGAGAGAGACAGACATTTACGTGTGCGTGATTGTGTGTGGGTGCATCACATCTGTGGCAGTGTGCCCATGCCGTACGGTGCGTCGTGCTGCCGGTTCCACCCCTCCCTGCCCACTTACCTCATCGTCGCCAGCGGCTCGGGCTTCTGGCAGACCGTCCAGGTGCAGTGCGGGGTGCACGAACCGCAACCGCTCGCAAGGCTCGTGAGACACGTGGTGTTGTGTGTGTCAGCTTGACCCTGACGGCGTCACCTCACAGGGAGAGTTCTCGCGGATACCGACGTTGCAGGTCAGTCAGTCGCTAGTCGGCAGTCGGTCTGACTGTCTCTTGTATATTTACTGACAAACAGGGCTCGCTGCAGAGCTTCGATATATCGTCCAATGGAATGTGTCTGGCATTCAGCGACAGCTCTCAAGGCGCGCGCATACACATACAGAGAGAGGGGGGGAGAGAGAGAGAGAGAGAGAGAGAGGGAGGGAGAGACGCCTGGGTGCGACAGACAATGGGTGTGACCATGTCATGTGTGGCGTGCAGGTGTGCATCTGTATGTGGCGGACCCCTCATCGCCCCCCCAGGCCAACGCATTCTCAAACCCCACTCTCATGCCAACAGTACATGTCATCACACACCACACCACACACACAAGTGCAACAAGTGCAACAAACAAATTGTCGTTGTGTGCAGGTGACCCACCACCCCGTCTACGCCTCCCAGCCGATCGACACGCCCGACGGCTCCTCTCTCTGGGGGCCCATACACGTGAGCGCCAGTCAGACTGGCCACGCACAGCACAGCACAATGTTTGTGTGCCTCCCTCTCCGTCTGTCGTGTCGTGTGGTGTGTGTGCGTGCGTGTGTGCGTGCAGTTCTCATCGCCTCTGTGTGAGACGGGTGACCCGCTGCTGTCTGACACGTGGGGCGGGGACGGCGTATACGCCGTGGGACAGGTCAGTCAGTCAGCACAGACACCCACACCCACACCGGCGCCCACGTGCGCACTCACACACGTGTGCTGTGCGCAGCGCACAGGTAAATGTTGTGTTGTCGTTGATGTGTGTTCGTAGGTCCGGCCGCCTGTCGATTTGCCGGAGGGCGTGCTGTCCCGCCTCAAGATGGTGGAGTTCATGGGCCACGCGCAGAACACTGGTAGGTGGAATTGATGGGGGGGTGGGTGGCTGCCCCCCTCGTTCGTCTGTGTCCATGTGTGTGTGTGTGTGGTGGTGGTGGTGCAGAGGGCTGGCCGACCAACTCGTTTGTCTTCGGCGTGGCCAAGATCCAGGACAGAGCACGGTAGGCACCAACACCACACACCACACCCTCACCCTCGCGCACACAAGCTAAGCTGCGTATGTATGTGTGTGTGTGTGCCAGGGGTGGTGCCGCTGCGAAGAGGGGCAAGCGCGGCCGGCGGGGCGGACCACAGGTGCTTGAGGGGGG